TGATTTTGTGCTCATGCACTGCAAATGCTAAAATATCACGGAGCCCCGGCCTATCTAAACGATCCCTCGAAAATTCGGAGTGCAATTGCGCAGTTGCGCAGTGCAATTGCGGAGTGCAAGGCGAGTGCAATTGCGCCCTGTGAATCTGAATAAGCGGCAGGAGATCGTTCTCCAGATTTTAGTCTCTTAGATGGATGTCCGAATTTGCCTGTATTTCAGTATTCCATCACAAAGGATAAGGCAAAATTTTGTGACAATATTGTTCGTTAATCTATCATGAAAGGGGCCATAGGGATTGTCTTGATCTTCCACATCATCAGGTTTTCTCGCAAAGTTTACCAAGACTTATAATAGCTCCTCAGCCAGAGATTATGTGCAATTTAGATGTCGTTTTTTAGATTAGCACGGTTTGCTGGCAGTTCCATGACTATGCTCATAAATAGCTGCTCAGTAGACATCACTATAAGCAATAGAGCCATATCGTGGAATTTAATTGACTACGGGATACATATTCATAAACGGAATGAGTTCAGGTTAATGGTCAAATGTTCGCAAACAGCTGCGATCTGTCTTTCAGTCCTGTATGTGTCTGTTTCTGCCTCTATGTGTGTATTTTTATCCCTACTGTTTTGTCTCTTTGGTGTTGGTACTCCATGAAATATCGACAGTGTATGACTACTATGTTTAGGTGAGACATCTTTCTGCACCAGTAACGAATCTAACGTCTCCATTGTTAAATTATAGAATTCCTCAGCGCAGCAGTCCTAAGGCCGCCAGCCACCCATGGCTGATGATAGTTGCATAACTCTAATTGTAAATGGCATTAGGTTATGTTTTGTAAGGAACATGCACATTATTAGTTTTGCATGCTGTGTGAATGTCTGTCTGTCTATCAGCCTCTCTGCTTCACCTTGCGCTGAGAGTTATTTGTCTGTGGGTGTAAATGTTGCTTGGCCAAGTCTGTTTTTGCAGGCATGTCCTTTTGTATTTTTGAACTGATTGCGAGCGTGCTGGTGTTCTGTTTCTCTTTTTGCCTGTCTGTCTGTACGCGACTGTACTTCACTTTTGCTGACACCATTGTTGCTGTAGGTGTAAAGGGTTTTCGATCTTTTGTCTGCTTGTCTACCTGCGTATTTTTTTGCTTCAGAATTATCAGTCTCAGTGGGCTTATAAACACCAGAGCTGAAAATTTCGAAGCAATGGATTGATTAATTGCGTCCGTATTTACGTTATACAAGTTCTGCTGAATGCTGTACTTTGTGAGTTTATTAAAGGCGAAAATGAAACAGGATACGCCGATAAATTACTATTCACAAGGCATTTCTACGAAGGTTTTTGGGCACTGTTCGTTCGAGAGTGATGGTTTTCGAGCAGAATACATTCGAAATGCTTTTCTACCACAGGGATTTGCACGCATGGCGAATTCTTAGAAATATCTGTAAAGGGCTCATTCTACTTACCTCGCAGTGATACTCGTTCAATGAGAGGTTGATAAGGTAGTGTTTTGTTTTTCGCTTCACACAGCTTCTTTAAAAACGAATGTAGTAAACTCTAAAACTAATATATTAACGTAGTCACTATAATCATAATGATCGTTCTGCTGCTGGATGAAACTTAAAGTCTTCGCCATAGACATTTGTTCTTTGTCATTTTCACCCATCTTAATCTAGTGAATTTTTCTTCAGTACATCCTGTCATCGATCTGGATATCTTCCTGCTGGCGGTTTACTCACACTTGAAACCATGTCTAATATCTATCACATCTGACGTTGATCGGTCCTCCTTACCATGTCTCATGGTCAGTTTCACTTTTTTTACTTGCACAGTGATACTACGGGCTCTTGCTTGTACTCTTAACTATTTGTTTGTCTTCCATTTGTTATTTTCAACGTGCAAGCTTCGTTAGTGTGATATTCATGGAAGTTCTTCATAAACGCTGGCGCTTTTCCCTGTCAAATCATTGGCAACACATACAAAAATATTTCTTCATGAATGATTTTAAGGCGAACCGCTGTGTTAAACCAGATGCTCGGTTTACAAAAACCTAAGTGGAGCAGTAGCAGTCACTGTTAGTTTTAATGTCTAATAAATTATTTTCGCTACACTGTCCACCCTTCAAGACGTTAGTTGCTACCGGCGATATCAGCTGACCTGTCATTGTTTATCTGGCTTCTCTGAGCGAATGAACCCACATTCGGAATGAGCCAGTAAACATCCATTTATCGAAAGCATCAGATACTGGCTACGGAACTTCTATCACCTGATTCCAGTTCCACTGAAGAAAAGAGTCGCGATTGGATACAATTTTCCCAAAGCTCTTTACTGCATAACTCGATTCATTAATGAAAAAAGTGGATGGAAGGAGTTGGGATTGTGTTGCAACAATGAGTGACAAAACCGTTAGAGTTTGCCAGAGATATTGTTCATTCGCAAA